AATGGTGTTTACTTTGCACTTTCAAGAGTTTTCAGTTATCTTTTTGGGTGAATGTTTTGTCTAGCACAGCTTTAGTCATGCACAAAATATTGTGTGTGTGTGTTTTTTTTTCCAATGTAAATAATGTTGGGGTAAAAAAAAAAGATTGTCTGAAAAATTGTATATTGTTTCTGACAGATCATCAGTGGAATACAAATTAGATAACATTTTGGCATCAAGAAATGTGTTTATGCTGTGTTGTCTGACCTGCAGGTTTAAAATATGGCTGATTAATAGATATGCAACTTTTTTTTTTTTAACCTTGAAAGTGCGTTTTATACTTACTCTTTGTCACTTTAAGTACTTTGGCTTGACATAAAGCTGAGCGTTGTCACCGCTGTTCTGACAGCGCCCCAAATATATGGGGGTGGAGAAACGGTTGCAAGGAAGTGAAGGGAGACACTGAGAGGACAGATAAAAGATGATGGGGGGAGTACGGTGGGCACATCTGTGTTGTAGGATGCTTCAACATGGAGACACACAAATAGTCTGCTGTGATAGGCTCCTAGGGGAGGCGCAGCTTAATCTACATCCCAGTAGCGTGGTTGCAAGTAGGTGTGGAGGCTAAAAAATGATCATTACAATCGTTAAATCATTCTGACAGGTGACAGCAGTCAGGTAGGTGCTGAATTCTGTCCAGTGTCTGTGGGATTAAGGTGCGACGCGGATTCTCTGTCGGTAATTCTTCAAGACAAATAGCAGGGCTCCCCAGACGCCGCCCCCTTCAAGGCAGCAGGCAGCCTGCACTAATTAGCAAGGGAGGTGTGAAGGAGAAATCATTACTTTATCTACACACTGTGCCCTACATACTCTCTCTTCCCCCACAGACGCTGTTCTGGCCACCTCCCATCCATCGTCTCTCCACCATCTGCAGCAAGGTGTAATGCATGTGCTTGTTCAAGTGCTCACATGGATTCAGGAGGAAAAAGTTTGCGCCCGGCAACAGTGATCGCATGACGTGACTTCGAAATGAAGGGCAAAGTGATGGACACATGCAAAAAGAAATTACATTTGGTTGAATTGTTAACGAGTAAAAATCTGAAAAGTAGTCAGCCTCCTTTACTCTGACACCCCTACTTATTATCTTGTTTAAAGAATCACTTTCAAGTGACTAAATTAGTATGTAGAGTACAAATATTTCTAAATTGCTTCCACAAATCAGTGTTTTTTATTGGAGATGTTCAATATTATTTAATTCCAAGAAGTACTTATGGAATACAGATAGTTATTAATTCTTTAACAGTTTATTGGGTTTTATCAATATATTCTGGCACGACTGGCTCTTCGAGAACATTCATGATCTTGACATGGCCCAGAATGGGAATGAGTTTAATAAACCTGTTCTAATGGGACAAAATGTGGAAAAGCTGCAGGGAGAGTACGGATGCTTTTGGAAAAGTGTGGCCAAGGCACAAGTGGAAGAACGGGAAAATGGTTGTAGATTTAGGAGGGAACAGAAATGACGTCAGATGGAGGGAAAAACTTGAGCAATGGAAAGAAGTGCCATCTGCTGCAAGGTGTGGACAGCTCAGTGCTATGACTCCATGGGTGTAATTACAGTAGAATGTTCTCTGATTGATTGTTTGAGCCGGCAGGACCTTTACTGCACCTCTGGTCCCTGTATGAGGCCTTTGTAGCAACGCTCAGCCGCCCCCCTCCTGTGGACCTTCGCTGGGCTCCGATTCCCAGCAGCATGATTCATGAGCACTTGAGCTCTTGTCTGACCCAGGCGCGCTTGCAGTCCAAACCATCAGGTAGCACACAAAACAGTTGCCCTCTGCACAATTAATTAGCCTGTAAAGCCAGAGGTCAATCATCACTGGCACAACCTGTGCTCTTTCACTCTCCTATTTCAAAGCATACGTTCAGAGCTCAGAAGAAGTTCAGCAAGAAGGAGGGGCACACTCTGTAGGTTGATCCTACTAAAAGCCGTGGTGTGTGTGTATATATATTTATATATACATGTGCACAAACAAAATCCGCCACAGGCTTAACAGGACAAGTGCATTGACGAACCAGCCTGATTTAAGGCTAGACGCCACAAGTAAAGTGCTGCACTTAGTACACCCTGGCCACTATCTCTTCAAGAACATCCTGAATATTTAACGACGACTCAATTTTACATACAAGCTTTTAAAAGATGTGATATTTATTTCATGGGGACAGAATGCATAAAAGCGGCAAAAAAATTTGAAACCTGTTACTTCTTCCCCATCCTTTCAGAAATCCACTTTTATCGAGCAGGGGTTAGGCGCTCGCTCCAAAAAAAAAAAAAAAAAAACGGGAACGTATTGGTAAATGGAGGGAAGTGGGGACAGCAGATTGTCGTCGAAGGCCGTCAATTCGACAAAGGTTTTCTTTATTTTTCAAATACAGGTTTACATGCGCAGAAAAGGAGGTAAAGAAATCTGTTCAAGCACTTCTCTAAAATGCAGCCATTACAGCTAGCATCTCTAAAAAGGAAGGGCAAAGAATAAATAAAACAGTGCTCGAAAGTGGTGCACAGAAATCTAACATTCATGGGTGGCTTGCAAGAGCATCCAAGGCAAATGATAGCATTCCACATAAATCCCCCTGAAGAACCCTCCCACTCAGTCCCCACCCATGAAAAGGGGGTGAAAAAAAAACTTCCTTTCAGCACATATTCATAAAGGTTCTTTAATGGCTTCCAGAGGGACGTGGGGGCCTTCTCCTCAGACGGAGACATTTCACAGGCCCACAGGCAGAGTCGAGAAGAGCCTAGAGAAAAATATCAAGTCTGAGGGAGAGAGAGAGAGAAACACGGTGAGAGGGGAAGTTGGGGGGTGGGAGTCAAAGCAAGAGAAAGGGAGGGGATGTCTTCATCATGAGTGGAATAGGAATGATGCCCCACTGGGGTCTATTAGTGAGTCTTTACATACAATGGCAGCCTCACCAATTTACAAGTGAGGCAACAATGCAAAGCCACCAGTTAACCGAGGTAAATATACAAAAATGAGCCAAAACCAGTCAAAATGCCCTCACCTTAAAGTGGACAAATGCTTCCTTTTCAAATTTAAATCAGTCTTTAAACCAAGGCCGCCTCCAGGTAGCAGACCATTCTACTCCACCCTGCTCTGCTGTCATCTGTTCCCCAACATAAATAATGCTAAGCTGTCTATACTTTCAGTAGGGTTATTTCTTCTATGGTCAGGACGACATGTCAGCACACAAAGAATTGATGTTTTAAAAAAAAGAAGTTAGTCATTTTAACGTTATTTGCAGCTTTCCATTTTCTGTGTCCATCGTATCCGTTGACAGAAGAAACTAATGGATCAATCAGATGAAGCCTTTCTACAAATCTTTCTAGAAACGGCACTGGCTGCTGAAGCAGAGGGACTTTCTCCTCAGATGTGGAAACCAAATTTAAGCAGGCACTTCGAAAAGATTCTGATCCCGAGGGACGGAATAATTAACTGTAAGGGTTAATTCACCCAACAGCCAAACATTTTGACTTATCCGCTTGTAGCTTCATCTTCCTTGAACTCTGACTACAAAGTCACTGCGAAAAATAAAAATGGTAGATTTACAGAATGGGTTAGCCAGAAGTCCGTGACATTGTTTAGCAGTTCTGCTGCAAATACTGTGGTGATATTGTTCAAAAAAACTTTAAAAGTAAAAGAGAAAACTGAACGTATTGAAAAATATGACCCAAACAAAATACGAAGAGACAGGGAGAGATTAAATTAAACATTTCTGCACTTTTACAGGGTCAAAGTACACAATAAAATGTATTTAAGAGGTGGAAAAGTGGATTTTGCATGATATGTCTCCTTTAACATGAGCGCTGCCCCTTTTGGTTTCAGATAGTATAGTCATGCAAGACATTTTGAAGCAATACAATTTAAAATGAGATTACTCCTCAGTAAGATTACTGAGTATTTAAAAATACTTGAAAGACTTGTTATAAATTGAGTGGTTAACAACCAAAGATGTGTTTCCCATACAGTTTTAGGAGGAGGACTGCAGGGATTTTAGTTCTGTCCTGCTCTTTGAGACAAAACTGATCCAAACAAGTTCACATTAGCTGGTTAATTACCCAGACAATTGGCTCAGCTAGCTAGCCCATACTCTGCTGCTTAACACATCTGCTGCTCCAGCCTCTTCACATGCCGAGCGCATTTTCTTAAAAAAGCATCGCCTTCATAACAGTGATTGACGAAGCTCCTTTAGTTTTCACACCAGGACTTTTCAAACTACTGACTTACAAACGAGAGAAACCCGCAGAGAACTAGCAATGTGCTGAAACACAAGAGGGGCAGCAGCAGTAAGAGGAAGCTCCACGTTCTCTTATTAAACTTTTTAACCCACAAGGGTTTTATGACAGAACATCTCAGTGGTTTTAAAACCTAAACTTTTAAAGTCGTAGCGTAACGACCCATGCTAAGTACATTCTAGTGTGTACACAAAAATTGGAAACGCGCAACAACAAGGACTCAGAAATTAGATGTTATTGTGTAAACAAGATTTGTAATGTAGCAGAAGTTGGTTTGTTTAGTTTTATGTAGAGAAGGTAGCATTGAAAGATTTCTGTTGCGATCTGAAGCCTTTTCTTCTTTTGTTTTGCTACATCACTACTTGAGTTTTTATCACCCAATATTTTGATTCACTGAAAATCCAGACAAGTACAAACTCATTGAAAAAATTGAAATAAAGAGTGCTTTAGCTCATTTTTAGGTCTCTAAGGTTGTTTTCACACCTGAGGTGTTTAGTCCACTTAATGCTAACTCTGGTTCATGCAACGTTGAGGACATCTCAGAACCATTCGATATACATTATATTCTGTTTTCTACTTTCTGTATTTACATTTGGTTCTCCTGCCCTGGACGCATCCATCCAATTGGATTTAACATTCTCACCTGGTTTGTTAAGACAGATTCAGGTTTCTGTGTTTTTAAATCAAAGATAATTCATTATTTTGGTATTTTTAAGTGGTGATTTTTTGTTGTAGGGCTAACAATGTGATCAGTGAGGGAAAAACGCTGATGTCGTACAGGAACAAGTCGCCGACGATGAAGGACATTACTTGCTATTCTTGGAAAGGAGTAAGGTGGGCAACACAAACAACTTGGATGCTAATTTTAAAACTTGCGGTTTTATGATCTGCAAGTTTCTTAAAAATTGCACATCTTTAAGAAACTTGATCTTGTAGCTCTTGTTGTACAGAGCCACATTAAGTTGTGTAGCTCTGTAATTCTCCTTACGTCTTCATTGAAGTCAGCAGAGTTTCCTCTAGTATTGGTCAACCAAGCAGTATCAATCATAAGTTTACAGGCGTCTGCAGACCGTCTCCCATTATACTGAAAATATTCTGTGTCTGTTTCATTTATTGATGAATTGCTGAAGGAAATTCTCCTGATGAAAGTGCAGAAGTTGGACGTGCCGTTGCCAAAAAGTTTGACTGACATTGAGAGATGATAATTAATCCTGGTTCAACTATGAACCCAATTATGCTGAGCCTTTGGTTCAAGTGCGTTTACCAATTTCCTTCCTCAGTACTGGGAATCTGAAGCAGCCCATTAACAATTCTTCATGAACAGGGTCCTGTTCTCAACATGGAGCTCATTAAAATTGCATTGGGAAGGTGCCATTTTCACTTATTAGCTTAATTGTCAGGTCATGTAGATTGGAAGATGACAGTGAAGGTGTCTGTGCCAAAGGACATGCTAGTTTCATTCAGCCACTGCTGCTGCAGAGTATAGGTCATTAATTGTTGAATGTGCCACATATATGGGCCACATTAAGCCACAGACAAATTAAACAAGCCTGCTCATAAATTATGAGACAGAGACTGGGGCGCTCCATATATCACAGCCATAATAATCATCTATCATTGCGAGGCTGGAACTCCTTCACTTCAGCTCTTCTGGGTAAACGTGAAGCTTATTCTCTCAGCCGCTCTTCCATTGTCCCTTCATCGTGTGATGAAAGTGAGACATCACAGTTGATTTGACTACTTACCTCTGCCTTAACATCCTCAGACTTGCTTCATTATCCACCTAAGTTATGGTAATGTGTTTGAACTAAGTGTTTGGTTCCAATAAGCCTGTTAGTAGAGGGAGTAATAAAATATTTTAAAGAGCAAAGCATGAACCACAATGACCTTGAGAGCTTCTGCAGAGGAAGAAAAGAAACAAAACCCTTGTATATCTTTGGATTTTTCAACAAGTATCATTTCTTTGTGTCTCTATAAACTAATATTCTCATTCATGGGCGTCAACTTGTGTCTGAGGCATAGCAAGGATACGGTTTTCAAGACGCAGTCTGCAGCTCCACTCCTCCAAGGCTGGTGTCCAGCAATTTTTAGATGAATCTCTGCTTCAACACTTCATGATGAGGCTTTTGGAAAATGTCAGTCTTTTCAGATGTTCCTGCAAGGTGTATTTTTTTTTTCAGTTTAAATATGAAAATGTTTGTCATTACAGAAATTACAGTACCTTATATTGTTTTTAAAGACTAGACCAGGACAGTCAGAATAGTGAAACATCAGAGCTGAATGTCCCAACCTTCTCCAAAGAAGGGCTAAAATGCACAGGGGTGATGTGGTGAATATTAAAGGGAATATGTTTTGCAAATTTCTTTCTTTTCTTTTCTACTTTTTGTGCTTCCAGTTGAGTATTCAGTGCTTAAAAACCACTCAGTTAGTTTTTGGCTACAAGATAAAGACACGCTTATTGTATTGAGACATTTGAGAGAAAATCAGACAAATATGTTAAAAGGTTTTTTAATCATTTACACCGGTATCTGTAGCCATGCACAGCAATCGCATTAAAAAAAAAATAAATACAGAACTTATACTGTACTAGTAAATTTAGATCTTTTTTTGTTTCGAGAAGTATAAATAACAAAAGACTCAACGTGAGAAAGTAGGAAGCCAACTTTGTGGCTCTGGCAGGAACAACAAAGCGGTTACAGGTGTTGTACTGCATGCTCTCTTAAACCCTCCACTATGGCTCTCCAACAAAATATGAAAGAAAGGAAGTGAGAGGGCTGTGCACCATGCTGCTCAGGTGAACAGCTGGACTGTGGAATATTTGGCGGGCAGAAAGTATGAGGCACAGCTGGCTTTTAAGAGGAAGAGCTCCCCTGGAGCCTCTGGGAGGTCACAGCCTGCTAGGCCGTGAAGCGCTGCTCGGCAGGAGCCGTGTGTAAAGGCAGAAGGCCTGTGCCACTGCGTGCAGATGTTCCTCCCGCTCTGCTGGCTGCCTCAAAACACACACACACACACACCCACGCGCGCACACACACTGCACACAATGCACAACCCTTGGTGCGAGGATGATTTAACACATAGAGCCGACGCTATACAACAGCACCAAGACACATTCAGACATGTGCGCACTGTCTGCACCACCACGTCACTTTCTTAAGCCCTCCATAGCAACAACCACCACCTCTCTACTTGTGAGTGCTATTGCTGAGAAGCAGGAAAAAGGGACTAAATGAGCTCTCCAAGGTCTAAAACATGCAACCAAATAGGAAGGTGCCCCTCAAGTGCTTCATAACAGAGAAGCCTCTATTCATTACCCAGAGGAAAAGAAGCGTTACAGGACAAAGTAAAGATAAAAAAACGGAGAGGAGGGAAAAAAAACTCAAGGCTTCAACCTTCACATCCCTCAGTATTATACCTTGTTATGCATGTCTCTCACACTGTGCCACATTTGAATAGCACAAACACAATCAATAGAGGGGGGGGAAAAAAGTCTTTAATTCCTAAGCTGTTTGCTTTTATCGACCTGAGCGCTCCTCAGGGATAAATCCGCAAGGGATGAACAATGCAGTTGGTGGAAAACGTATCCAATGCCTGCGGTATTATTACAAAATACCTCATCGAATCATGTCAGTCAAAGCCGTGGAAGATTGAGGGCTATTCATTTCAGGTGGGGCTTGTAGCCGGGGAGATGTTGCCACTGGGACAGGTATAGTCATCAGCGGCCCTCCTGGCGGTGATGAATAGAGAAAAAGACAGAATGACTGGCAGGACTCAGTGAAGGACAACACTTTGCCGCGCAATCTCCTCCGTCTGTCCACCCCGACAAACCCTTTCTAACCCGGGAGACAAATCCTCCCGCTGACACCTATGGACAAGCACATCTGGCAACTAAGGTGCACCGAGGTTCACATTGACAGCCCCAATCAGCCACTTGGTATTCACCGTGCTGTCTCCCCCTATTCTCTGGCTCTGACACCGGAGCTGGAGAGGAGAGGAGGAGAGCGAGAAGCCGGCGGTGTGTGGGGTTTTTAAAGAGGAAATCAAATATTAATCAGCTCAATCACAGGCACATCACCACAACTGCAGTCTGACATTGATGTTCAATCAATCAAAGGGTCTAATTATGGAGATCACAATGAGGACAACAGAAGAATAGAAAGTTTGGAGTGAAGGATGACAACAGGGTCGTAAATATTGAAGCCTCATAGCAGAGCTAATAACTTCTGCATGAATCTTGTCTAAAGGAGCACATTACTGAGCCCTTCGTTAAGAGATTACTGTGTTTTTTTTGTTTTGCGGTTTTAAACCCTCCACATGGTTTCAGCAGCGGTTGTTTTATATGTATTGTTGGTTCTTTCGGGCCAACGTTAATTATGCACTACAAACTGGCCACAGGCTATATTACTGTCTACAGTGAAAATTAAATATTGATAAAGCTCCAGCTTTCACCCCAGATTTCATTGCGTTAACAAATATGTTTTGTTTGCGAAACAATTTGAATTTAATAATTCATCAAAAAAAAATTTGGTGGAGGCCATTATGATTCAGCGTGAGCGCCGCGCGGGCTGCAGATGTCAGGGATCATGTCTTCGCACTGACAATACATGGAAAGCCGGCGCCCTCTTTTATGCATTATTTAAAGCGGTTCTGGAGGTGGGTGTGGGCGGGGAGGGGTGGTGACATGGGCAGGGGGACTGATACCCAACATGTATAGAGGTGACCTGAGGCGGTCTGTCAAGAAAACCCACCGTGACGGAAATACAAAGAGGTATTTACACCCAAGTTATGTCCGGTTATTGTACTCGATGCTGGTTCAGGCACTCACCGGCCACTTTAATAGGTACACCAAGCTAGTAGTGGTTGATTCAGAACTGCCCTAATTGTTCATGGCACAGAATCACTGAGATGAATTGAGATTCTGGTCCATTTTGACATAATATCGCGACGCAATGACTTCAGATATGGCAGACGGACATGCATGACGCACGCTTGTTGTCCCACCACATCCCAAAGGTGGATGGAGATCTATTGGAGCGCAGCAGACTTTGATGTATTTTAAACCGATGTCTGACTCTACCATCTGAATGACGCAGCCGACATCAGATGCACTGTTTGTGGGGAAAAATTAATGATTAAAAATGCAAATTACCGTGGCTATTAGCACATAGCTGTATGATTTAATGATACAAAAATCCCTAAATCCTTGTATCCATGTGTTGTCTGTACCTGCTTATCCTTGCTGGAGCACACGGGGGCTGGCTCCTTTCTCCAGCAGTGATTGGCTGAGAGGCGGAGTTCTTCCTGGGTAGGTCGGCATGTCGACACAGAGTCAACAACGATGCAACAACTTACTCATACCAACTAAAGGCTTCCACATACTTCGGCATGCTCTGTGAACCGCGCAGTTTGTACACACTGTCTGCGGACAGTTTGAGTTTTCCTAGTGGAGCATACCGATTCCCTACATTTCTCTTGACAAATTCCTTTATTTTCCTGTATTTGATGAGCTAGTTGCACCACTAGCCTCGCTGTGTCTCCACCAGGACAGTTTGTTTGAACCAGGGACCTTCTGGCTGTAAGGCAACAGGGCTACCAACTTTGTCTCTGTGCAGTCCAATCGCTAAATCATACAATCTTTGTAACATGAGGGGGAGATGAGCAGAGTTTAAGCACTGTGTGAACCCCACAGTCTGAAGTGGAAAGTGTCACTGCATAACTCGAGAAAGTGCACATTTAACATGCATGTGATGCGACGGGCTCTACTTACCTCATTGCTAAAAGATGAACAGGAACACAGGAAACTACTGGTTGAGAAGTTTTTGTAATAAATGTGAGAA